GTTCTTGAATATGTTACAAGTATCTAAGGACACAAAAAAATCACATTTAAATCAAAGCACTAGTTTTCAAGCACACTCCTCGTAAACTTCCAAGCAAATCCATTACAAAAACTCAATTCATGAGACAATAAACCACATTGGAATGTATACTCTAAATTCCAGGCAAACCCACCACCTTTTAGATGCAAAGATACAACTTTCTTTAAAAAATCATACGTTTTTTTTGCCAAAAATCAAACATTTTCAAATAAATATAAAAAAATTCATAAAAGTTCAAAAATGACAAATTTGATAAAATTAGTGAAAGTGACATTTTCGTCGATAAATTATTGGATTTTGACATTTTCCTCTAATTTAATAAAGTAAAAATCAAATTATATCATATTTAGTAAATTTTGATAACAGTTTATAAAATATGTGATTGGAAAGTTAATAAAAGTTATAAATTTCATAAAATATATGATTAAAATTAATTGTTAATTTTTTACTATGATTTTTATCAATTTTTTACTAAATCAAATATGGACTTAATATATCACTCAGACCACAATGAAAGTTCAACTGAAATAGCAACAAAGGTTCCCAATCTATAGGTTTTAGAGTATCTTAAAAAAAAAAAAAAAAAAATTAGCTCTTCATTTTGCTTTTTCAAAAAAAACACTTATTGATTTTTTTCTCATCTTTTATTTAAAATAGTTTTTTATACATTAATGATTAATCGATTTAAATTTGATTTGAATAATTTAAAATTAAAATATATAACATATTAAATATGTTAATTAACACATAATGTCTCACCTTTCATTGTTATTGTGAAAAACGTCATTACATTTCATTTTTTGATATTTTTCACCCTTATTTCCATATTTCATTGTGCAAAATGTCTTTTTTCATCTATTTTTTCAATTAAAAATTATGAAATAACAAATATACACTTCTCTTTAAATAAAACAAAAAGAAAAGGAAAAAATTAATTGCAATTACAGTCCCAATTTTTTTTTAAAAGTCCAAATAAGCCATAAATAAATTATTAAAAGGGTAATTAGCACTTGATGTCCATACCTTTCAATATTATTGCAAAAAATGTCCATACCTTTTTTTTTATATATTTTCATCCTTAATTACATATTTAATAGCGCAAATCATCATTTCTATCAATTTTCATCCAATTTCTCATAAAAAGCTATGAAATGACGAATATACCTCATATTTAAATAAAAATTTAAAGAATTAATTGCAACTATAATCCTAATTTTTTGAGAAATTAGATGAAAATAAATAAAAATGATGATTTGCACAATTAAATGTGTAATTAAGGGTGAAAATGCCAAAAAATAAAAGGTATGAACTTTTTTACAATAATAGTGAAATGAATGGACATTATGTGCTAATTGCCATTTTAATAATTTATTTGTGACTTATTTACACCTTTAAAACAAATTTGGGATTATGATTGTAATTAATTTTTCTTTTTCTTTTTGTTTTATTTAAAGATAAATGTATATTCGTCATTTTATAATTTTTAATTGAGAAAATATGTGGAAATGACATTTTGCTCAAAGAAAGGTGGAAATAAAGATGAGAATGCCAAAAATGAAAGGTATGGACGTTTTTCACAATAACAATGAGAGGTGAGGATGTTATCTGCTAATCACCCTATTAAATACAATCGTTATAAAGTAATAATATAAGTGAATTTGAATAGTATACTTTCATCCTAATTTTTAAAAATAAAAACAGAAAGACTCTTGGACTTGCCAGACATATCATATCCTTGGACTTTATTCTTTTGACCATTTCCCAACACTAAGGGTACGTTTGTTACCCTTAATTTTCCAAGGGAATTTCCATTTTCCCACTTTAATGGTGTTTGATGAACAGAATTTTGCATGGAAAATCTTTCCACACTTTTCCCTCATGCGCCAGATATTCCTCACTTTTGATCCACCAATTTTTTGGGAATTGATTTTCCAATTGACTGTTTTTTTTTTGGCAATGAAAACAAATTTTATAACCAATTGTAAAAAAAAATTTCACTTTAATGGATAATTTCTATGTAAAACAAAGACAAACGAACACTAAATTTTGATTAAAAAAATGATTTTTTACAGTAAAAGAATTTTCATTTTTTTTTTACTTTTTAACAATG